AAACAATACATATGACCAGTAGTCGAATATGCCAGTCTAGCGTGGATAAACATCTCACCAACACTTATCAAAAGGAAATGTCAACCAATACAAACCTCGATGCTCACAACAGCATATAAAGTTCCAAGAAGTATAAGTTCAACTTTTCTACACAGATACTCTAATCTACAGCCACTATACTATAGGCTCCTACATAGTTTAAATAACTGTTTTGAGAAAAAATCTAAACAAGAACGAACTACTGAGTTCTCTACATCGCTATACATGATGAAACTAAGCCTAAGTTCTTCTCTTCCATTAATATCTATTTTAAGTGTATCAACAGGCCACCTAGTGCTAGACTTTAAAAAGGATATTTATGTATAATACTCTCATAACGGACTACTTAAGTGAATGTGTCACAATATATGGAACTATTTGTCATGTGTATGACTATACGCGCCAAACTAAGAATGAATGACATGAATGGACATGACCTTGAGAGGGGTTGATGTATTCATAAAACTGTAAATGATACACAGTCCTTACATGCAATTGTCTGGTTTAGCAGATACAATGGTGTAAATATCGCTGTATGAAAGATCACACAACAACACAGGAGAGAGGAAGAGATATCCAATAGAACCTGACCCTCCCAAATTCTCACAATTATCTAGATCCCGATGCAGACAACGCGTGAGTTGTAGGTTATAGCGTTCTTCTGGAAAATATTTCAATATTTAAAGTCTAGAGTTGTTATTCTGTTGTATCTTAATTACTTTAGTTAGGATTAGCACTTTTAAGTTTTGTTACTAGAAGTACAACTAAACGTAAAATTACGACATTAGGCTTAACAGTACATGAGCCTTTTTTTTTCTTTACTGGATTTACATACATATTTAAAGAAGCTAGTGGTGAAGTTATACAATTTGCATGTAGAATTCGTTAGTTGGAGGAGACATTGGAGGTTAGTAGGGTAGAAGTAATGAATATAGAGAAGGGTAAACTGTGGGAACTGGCAACTGGCTTTAAAGAAGAAATTAAGCTTTTGCATGCGAAAGATACAGTAGCGCGGCTAATAATGACTTCCAGGAAGTTAAACACATTACCAATATTAGTAATAGAGCTAGTAGTAGTGGATTTAATCATAATGGCTTTATTAAGTAACATATTTCAGCCTTTGGCTTATTCAGCTGATGAACTTGAGGAGGGAAAGATAATAAAAGGGATATAGAATGGGAATAGAAACTTAAAAGGCATAATTATTATAGGAAATTATTTAATACGGCACGTGGATAGGATAGTCTGTGGAGTAAACAGGAATTAAAGATTTAGATTATGTTATCCAGAGGCAGAGGATATAACCGACAGAACAGGTGATTTAGTAAAGGATGCTAGCAGTAATGCACTCTTTGTAGTGCACATAGGGGCTAATGATGTAGAGAAGGGTAGGTCAGAGGAGCTAACTGTTATGTACAAGGTGATGATAAAGGTATTCAATAAAAAGGGCCATAATAACTTAATTATGTCAGGGATACTGTTAAGATTTAATTGGGATGAAGTTGTAGGTAAGTCACTAGGGCTAAATGCCAGGCTTAGGCTAATGTTTAAGGACGAGCAGGTTGGCTGGTTTGATTTGTGGGCTCAGATCAGCGGGAAACGGGAGCTTTTTAGAAAAGGTAGTTTAACTAATTCTAGACATTGGAGAGAACCAGAATAATGAAGAAAAAACAAGATGTAGAAATGGGTTTAGTGTGGAAAGAATGTAGTTTTAATGATAGGCTAAACAGTTATTATTGTAATGCTAGAAGCATAAGAAATAAAATGGGTGACTTTAGAATACTGGTTGAAACACAGGATTTTGATATAATGGGAATTATTGAAACCTGGCTAATTGTAGACAATTTTGATAGCAGGAATTTCTCTGAAATACAGGGTTATATGTTGTTAATAGGGATATAGTACTGAAAAAAAAGGGAAGGAGTGGCTTCATATGTAAAATGTGAGTTACATCCTGTTCACGTTGAGGATGTCAAGGCTAATAGCAATGAGGTTGAATGTATTTGGATTTCTGTTAGTGGTTATAAGGGAAGAAAGCTTTTAGTTGTAATTTGCTACAGACCACCTGATGAAAGTAATGAAAATCTCTACAGTGAGATAAATAATTCAACTGTGAATGAGATTCTAATTATGAGAAATTTTAATTTCAAACATATAGATTGGGAATTGTTAGAGTCAAATAATGAGAGAGCCGTTTTTTGAAACTGTTTAGAATGGTTTTCTTCAACATTACTTAGAGAATCTGCTGCAAACAATGATATTTTAGATTTATTTTTAACTTCTAATAAAGAAATAGTTAAGTTTCAAGTTTCAAAAAGTAAACTTTGAAGAACTGAAACAAGAATTATTTGTTCTAAATTTAGTAACTGAATTAGTTGGAGATACTGATCAAATGTAGACAAATTTTAAAAATAAGTTCTTAAATATTCAATATTGGCATGTTTTTGTAGGAAGAAAGGGTGGCTGCAAATGAAAAACCAGGTCAGCCCACAAATGGCATAGGGGATAAAATTAAAGAAACGCATTATGAATATAAAATATTTATATTGACTGCAACAATGGGAAATTTTGAGAATTATAAAAGATTAAGAGTTGGTCAAACGGAAAATCAGGAAATCAAAAAGTATATGAAAAATGTTTGGCTGAAAATGCAAAATTTAATATTAAGGATTTCTTCAAATACATTTAAGGGTAAGCAAAATGTTAGGATTGGAGTAGAGCCTTTGAGGGATGATACATGGAGGATAATATCTGATGATTTTTCTTCAATTTCTACTAATTAAGATTTAAGCAATATTCCTCACCCTGAACAGCTGCTAAAAGGAAACATGATTGAACAAAATAACCACATTAATTCTGAGCTTGTTAAGAAAAAACTGGGAAGTTTAAAGAATGATAAATCTCCTGGACCAGGTAATATTTACCCAAGGGTTTTGAAAGAGGTTAAGGACTGGATATGTAAGCCATAGGCTATTATATTTTTTCAGTCCTTGAAAAGTGGGCAGTTAACAAAAGATTGGATGTTGGCTAACGTTGCTCCTATTTTCGAGAGAATTGGTAAAAAATGTCCCTGTAATATAGATCTGTTTGTCTTAAATCAGTGATAGACAAAGTTTTGAAAGTCTGTTGAAAGATTCTTTACAATTTCATTTAACAAAGTTTACAATTGTGTAAGATAGTCAAAATGGTTTTACTATGGGAATATCTTGCCACTCTAATCTTTTGATAATCTTTAAAGATGTTTTCTGCTTATGTAGATGAGAATACGGCTGTGGAATTGGTGTATCTGGATTTTTCATAAGTGTTTGAAAAAGTGCCACAAACATAATTGTTAAAAAGTTATCTGTAGGTATAGGGAACGGGTTGGCTCATTGGTTAGAAAACTGAGTAGATGGAAGTAAGCAGAGGGTTATCAATGGAGTTCAGTCAACTTAGATTAATGTCGCAAGTGGGGTGCGTCAAGACTCATTGTTAGGACCTTTGCTCTTTTTGGTTTACATAAACCACAAAGATGAAGAAATGGTCAATATATTATTTAAATTTGCTGATGACATTAAAGTTCTGAGTGTTGCTGGCTGTGAGTATGTTGCTACTGCTTTAATGAAGGACTTGGATTATATGGTGAGTTGGGTGAATAAATGGCAGATGACTTTTAATAATAATAAATGCAAACTAATGCGTGTGGGATATCACAATTCGAATTATAAGTATAATTTTGATGGAAATAACCTTAACAGGGTTATGGCAGAAAAAAGATCTTGGTATTCTGCTTTGTCAATCTCTTAAGTCGTCTAAGCAATATGCTGTTACAAGTGGTAGGGCAAATGTAATTTTTAGTTTGTATATACAGAAATATTGAATCCAAGTCATTAATTAGCCCTCATTTGAAGTACTGTATTCATTCTTGGGTTCCTTATTCTAGAAGGAACATTTAATTTTTGGAAAGGGTTCAAAGGAGGGCTACTAGGATGAAACCTGGGATGGAAAGGTTGTCATACGAGGATACGTTAAATATCTGAACTTTTCTCTTGAAAAACGAAGAATTAGAGGAGATATGATTGAGGTGTTTAAGATTGTTAAGGGAATTAATAGTGTTATGACTCATCTTTTTTCGTATTTAATGGTGAGAATGGTAAGTCTAAAAGTCATCTTCAGCTAAGGCAGCTTTATTTTTCTAACAATTTAGTTGGCTTTTGGAAAGAGTTTCCTTCAGATTTGGTAGATGCAATTAATTTAAGGAAGTTTAAGGGAAAGCTTGATAACTATCTGAATGATAAAGGCTGGCTTTGAGTAGTTTAGTGCTTAGTATAAGTTAGTAGACAGGACGGCCTAGACGGACCAAAATGTCTCTTGTTGTTCTGTAGTGTTATGTTAATGTATCTTCATTGGCTCAATAATTTACTATTACAGCTTCGTCAGGAGCTATCGGTAACCTACAAGTTCGTTAATCCAGTTGAAACTAAATTGGGACACTGTCATCAACGAAATATTAAGTCTATAAAGATCCATTCTGGGGGTACAGGTCGATATTGTATTTACACTGATAGAAATTACAAGTTGTTTTTATTCCCCCAAAAACTAATTTATGTATTTGTTAAACACTGAAAACTTAAGTGATTATTTTGAATTCCTTATACATTAAGATAATCGTTTTCTTACAGCACCTTTACTTCACTGTGTCTTTATGTATCAACGTTTCTGTTGATCTACACTTGGTGTACATTTCTATGCAAAAGTATCTTTTAAACTAACAAACGCACCATTATTTTCAACGTTTGATTTTATAGTAACTGACCTAAAGCCAATTCCTGTTATATTTGTCGTTCGCTTCTTCAAAATAAGTTGCTTAACAAATTTCCTGTTTATCAAACTATACACACAGAGAACTTCAACATGGTTTATCTACCGACTTGAAACTTTTTTAATCTATGCTTATTTATTTTATACTTTTTATAACTTACTTTGTTGAGCACTGTGATCAATAGTAACACGTCGGAAACTATTGGATTCATAATTTTTCTTTAGATGACTCATTCCCTTTTTATCAAAGAAGTGCTGGTAAAACTGTTTGTATGAAGTCAACAGTTCTGACTCGGCCAGTTTTGAAAGTTGGGGTTGTGCTTCTTTGAAAAAATTCCCACGTGGATAGTCCTAAACGATGAAAAAGCCACCTTTTGATCCTCTTGAATACAACATATATTTTAAAGCTACTACAACATATCGAGTCTCTTAAGCTGGTAAAACTCACACTAACATAAAAAGAAATTACATTGAAATTAATGACATAACATTCGTAGGTTTGGAAATTATTTTAATCCGTGGTGATTTTGCCTTCACTTATTTGCAATATTATCATTAAGAAAATGATGGAAGAACACTGCGACTGAAGAATGTTATGAGTTATTCGTAAAAAAAATGTTTTTAATAATATACTTTAAATTTATTCTTAGTTCTTTGTTTCCTAAGGTTCAATCTTACCAGATTAAAGTGTTTATATTAGTTTTAGGCATGAATGTGCAGGCCACTCTTGTACAACAATACATCATGTTGATGTAAATGTTGATTATTATGTTTTACAAACGTGGGTGATAGTCAGACCGGTCGTAGCCTAATGGTTAGGGCACGGGTTGTGAATTGAAGGATCCAAGGTTTGATAAATGACGCTAGTTAACAAACTGCGCATTTTCAACTGTTTTTGTATTATAGAAGTGACAGTTATTCCTGTTATTCGACTCAAAAAGCCATGCTAAGAACTTGTGACGGCGTGTACTGCTGATTCGCTCCCTTCACTCTGGCGACAGCTATACCTGTACCTAGGGGTCTCTGACCAGGACGTTTAACTAGACCACGTGGGCGTAAGGTGTCATTTGATGTATTTGGTGAAAAATACTCATTGATAATATTAACCTAATCGAGACATTATGTCAAACTTCAATAAATATTGTTAAGCCAACTAATTTAGCTAAACAAGACACACTTCAACCTAAGCAGTGACTAACTAGAAAGCTCAGACAACAAGTTTCGCGAGAAAGGCTTAACGGTAACAATGTTGACATTTCATTCTCTATCTCAAAAAGTTAGCTGGTGAAGACAGATTTCAGTTCACGTTAAAAAAGTATAAATTTACACAATAATTTTGATGAATTAAAGATTCTTTATACCAATGATTTTGTTACAATTTAACTATTTTTATTTCTCAAACAAATCTGATAATATTCATCAACCCCAACATTTGGCGCTAGGAGAGAATATGACAATTACAATTCCGTGAAATTTTATAGAAATTAAATACATTTTGCTAGCTAACAAAGCTAGCTCACATTGTTATAATTATAGAGAAGTATTGGAAGTGTTTGACAACATGAAGAGTACAAAAGTTGTAGAACTCACACATGAACAGTATATAACAACTCGGGCATGTAGAGGTGTTGGAGGGAACAGCTATTAATTTTGAATAAATTATCTAAAAATAAATAAGAAATGAACACTAATAAGCATATTACTGTGGAAGTTGAGGTCGCTACGACTTGCACTGTTTAAATTAATACATGCTTTAAAAATATTATAAGGTTTGTTTGTTTGTAATTAAGCACAAAGCTACACAATGGGCTATCTGTGCTCTGCCTATCACGGGTATCGAAACCCGGTTTCTAGCGTTGTAAGTCCGCAGACATACCGCTGTGCTACTGGGGAGGATATTATAAGTTTTTTTATCTTAAATGATAATGCACATGTTTACCGTTAACGTAAATAATAATAATAATCTTGAAACAGTAAACTATTTCACTCTATTCTTATTCACGTTCTGAGAAGAATCAATCAAAGTTTGGTTTTAATGGTAAGAATATTTGAAAATACTTTCAGATATAAATTGTATTTTTTTTTAGTTTACTCTTGCAAAGAGTTTTGGAATGATCTGTTTTATTGAGTACAACAATCTCACTTTTAAAGGTCTTATTATAATGCAGGATGGGCAATAATTATGTATCCATTTGTTTGCTACTCCAATACGACCGTTATGCCTTCATTTATTCTTTGTTGCCTCGAACTGCATAAAATATTAACAGGCGTAGTTTGTTTGTTTTGTTGTTAAGTACAAAATGAACTATGTGTGATCTGCCCACCGCGGGTGTAGAAACCGATTTTTAGAGCTATAGTCTCTCAGACTTGCCGCTGGGCCACCAGGGGGCCAGAAGAAGAGAGAAGCAAGTTGTTCGTCTTTTGCACTTATGTATAAAAAGCTTGCATCTTCAATAAAGTATACTTTTAAAGAAGCCGTGAAGAATTTTCAGCACAGACTGGATAATAAACGAAGAACTGGGTAAGTTCTTGATTTCACACCTACAGATATGCTAGAAGCTGAGAAATGAACTTATAAATCAAAAGGCTGTCATGGTGCAGAACTATTAATAAACGAAAAAAGAAAGTTATTTCTCATTAAGTCAGACCCTGTATTTACTGCGAGAATTCGTCGAATAACTATACTTTTTGTTGTTTTGTTACGCTCTCAACAATAATGATGTGTAGAAAAAGTTATTTTATTTAGTTATTAAACAACAGCATGTAAATACATGGAAACTTTGTCATATTAAAAAGGCTTATGGACGTTAAAATTGCTATTTTACTAAGAGATACAGATTGCAAAAGTACTATTGCTTCAGAAGCCTGAAGAAACCCTTTATATAACGATAAATAAGTTAGATACAAAATAGCTGATAACCCTGACAAGTAGACCACATGGTCGTCTATCATACACTTTTCAAGAATTTCAACCAAACAACCACAAGTGCTTGATATTTTCAGTTGTAATGTATCAAACAAAAAAATACTTAAAGTAGTAAAGAAAAATAAAGTCAAATGAAAGGTGGAATATTCAGAAGATGTGCTGAAGATTACCCAGAAGAGCTTCGGAAGTGTAATTAACAGACACATCAAAATACCTGCTCAACTAAGACTTGTTGAAGATTACCAAAAAAAAAAGCCTCGAAAGTTTAACTAACATACATCAAAATACATATCCAAAATAGTGAAATGATCGTGAAATCTGACCTTGACTTACTCGTTGAATCAGAGCTATACTAATTATATGGACTGAATCTCATGAATTGTAACAAAATACATTATACAAGGAATTTCAAACAACATCCTTACAATGGATGAAGCAACTTGATCAAAGACATTTGAAAATAATTTACTATTGTTATAATTAGGAAGAGCATTATAAGTTTGAGAGTAACCAAGAAAAATGAGACTATAGGCCCCAAAACAAAAGTGTACATAATTATTCCCAGTACAACTATGGAAATATTAGTATATTCTAAAATATGTCCTGATGTGAAGATGGTTATGTGTTTCTTGAACGTCAAACGTATCCCAAAGAAATTCAGGGTGAGCTTGGAATGATACAAATTGAAATACAACATATATTTACAGTCAGTTAAAGCATTCTAATAGCTTTAAGATCACCTTTACGATAATCAGGTAAGTAGTTCAATGTTGGGTACATTACCAACCTGTTTAAAAGCAAACAAGGAAGATGAAGACTATCTTGAGGGTCAATAACTACCTATAACTCAATACAGACAATGATTCATGACTCATAGTGACAAATTTCCGTAAACAATGGGAATATGCAAGAGCCCATAAACTTTCCTTCACCTCTATAATCTTGAAACATCTAAACATCTTGTTTGAAATGTCACTCGAGGGTACACCTGGAAAGATTCTACATGTTGGATTCCGCCAATCTGTAAAAAATATATATAAAAAACATTTGTATTTAACTTACTGCTTTAGATATGGAAGAAAATAAATACAGCACCACAACAGAACTACTGGATAGAGCAGCAGTTGATGTCTTACGTTTACTACGCAATCGAAAGTTGTAAAAATACGCAATTGAAGTGATGAATTCTGTTTTACAAGGTGACCAGAAAAACACACTTAGCAAAACCAAAACGTTAAAACATTAGTAGGTGTGCTATATCACTGATAGTATAGCGAGATATGAAGTACTATGTATTCTGCTCAAGGAAAGGACGTAAAAACAGTGATGTGTAAAATCTCGGAAATTAACATACACAGTAAGCAATATTTCTTTAAACAAAAATGTAGGTAAATACAACAGATATTTGCGAAATAATAAAAGTTTACCCTTAACTGATCGTACATACTGGCTTAAAAGCGATTTATTCAAAATTTCATCCCACAAAGAAGAAGCCTTATAATATCCAGGTTTAGAAGAATATTAATATAAAGTAGGTAGGTATTATTTGATTGTTATTTTGATTAGGTGTTGAAAGTTTGGCCAATAAAGGTTGCCTTGTGATGCTAATTTTTGATGTAGTATATGGAGACGGAAAAACTAATAACAGTTGTCAAATAGATATCATTGGCGGAAGTTCGAAAATGTTTGATATACAACTTTAGAATTCGTGGTCAGGATTCAAAATAAGTAAAGATTTCAGGCAACGAGCTATTTAAGCAGCAGTGTTTGTTTTCCATTCCATATTTGAGTATGGTAAGAATTTCAATTAGACCGAGATAAGTTAGGAAAATCATTGTTCTTAGTTCTTGGTTCTGTTGAACACATTGGTAAATTTTAAGACCGTGAAGAAATATAAATTGAATCACGGTTGTGCTGGATTGTAAAAATTCCACACAATGATAATATGATAATTATAATAAGGTACCTATGTCTGTCTCTTTAAGTGTTCGTAATAAGCTTGCCAACTACAATACACTAGAGTGAAAAGCTTGCTACAGGAAATATCACTTTAACCTATATCACTGATGTAATATATTAAACACACAACCAAATAATGAATACTGATCCGATATAATGGATATACAAAAAACTGATGTAATATATTAAACACATAACAAGGAATGAATACAGATCCGATATAATGGATATACAAAAAAC